GTAACCGTCGTCGAACGTTTCGGACGCGGCCGGTGAAAATATGCGGGACGGGTCCTATTCCGGTATTTACCTACGAGTTGTGCGATGTGCACCAATCTGGTGGAACGCGGCGCCCGTCGTTCCCGTGGCCGTGTGGACGCTGCGGATCCGGGCGGCGTGTCGCTTATCTCCGTTTCGCCCTGCAGGGTTAGCGCACAGGACACCGGCGGAGAAAACGGACCCGGCACGATTGCTGTTGTTTCTCTCCTTGGACGACGCGCCAAACTACGACCGGGGGTGGCGTTGAGCGACGAGGACGGACGGACGGACTGCCGTACGGACGAGAACGGTGAATCGCGCGCGACCGGTCGCGGAGCAATGAACGCCGTACCGATTTCAGACCCGACGGTGCCGGGCCCTCTCTACCGGTGCGCGCGCCTACCAACCACAACTACTACTCACCACTACTACTGCTACTACTACTACTACTACTACTACTACTACTCACTACTACTACTCGGTACCGCTACCGTTACTGGAATAATAATGTTCATTATTATTTATACGTAATCGTACAAACACGACTTATGAAATAATTTGTCTTCAAAAGCAAAACTTTGGTAAGAGAGTAAGAATTATATTCTTTAAGTACCGAACTGTGTAAAGAAAAATAACAAAAACATGTTTGATACTCCGTGATTACCTACATAATCATTTAGGATAATTCATAACTATAACATATTTATAACATATTACATATACTTTCTAGATAATGTACACAGTGAAAACACAAAATATAAAAATAGAATTAGATATACAAAAATTGTACAAGTACTTTTAACCGAAAACCATTACTATTTACAAATGCGCTGAAACACTGCCAAGAGTCGAGTCCTGCGCACAACGGTCGCTTCCACGCGTCACACGCCCACCCGCACGTCGAGTACGTTCATAGAACTATGGTCGGATGGTGGCGCGACAAAAGTACGTCACCTATATATGTCTATAACAACGTTGTCGTCGTCCCACGTGCGTTTGTTTTGTTCGGCGTACGTGGTGAATTTTTACTACGATGAAACTCATTCTTTTTCATTCCGGTTTCTTTTGGATTTTTTTGATTTTTCTTCGGATTTCTGTACCACCCAGAACGATTAATTTTGATTCGACGTGTGCGGAATTATCGACTGTGGTTTCCGATTTAGAAAAATAAAAATCGAACCAATCGTATAATATCGTAGTGTGAACATTAATTCAAAAAAAAAACATTACTAAGCACATTTTAAAATAATGTAGCGAGTATAAATCGTCAATGCACGGAAACTGAGTTGAATATAGTATAATTTTTTTTTTTTTATTGTCTGGCCCGAGAATCCTTTTTAATTTGTGAATATGACCCAAGAGTACAAAAAAGTTGCTGACCATTGTTTTATTATAATATTTATATCGAAATAATTTTATCTTTAATAATTTTTTACGACACGTCAGTCTTCGATGATATTAATTACAAAAACCTCAATTTAAATACAGACACATTGGTGACAGATGTGTATAGACTAAATTAAGTTTGCGAGGAAAATTTATGAAAAATGCTCATGTACCTAGGTTCAAATTCATTGAAAGTTACTTTAGTTCAGTTTCACGATTCCAACTTACACTCTTTCGTCCATTTAACTTTGCATAAATTGTTTCCAGTTTCATTATTTTTAACCAAACAAAATTATAGTTTTTTATTAGGTACATTTATTTTAAATGAGCGTGTAAATAGGTAAATTATTTTATATTTTTAAGTGCAATCAATAGAGCCCGAAATTATATGCACTAAAAACGTACGTAATATGCATGCATTTATGCTCTCATTATCATTAAAACATGCAAACAAAAATGCATATTTATTAAATGTATTTACTTTAAGGATTTATATAGTTAATTGAATAATCAATATGGAACAAACAAATGTATTAAATGTGCAGTTAAAAATAATTGAACTGTATGTTAAATTTTGAAATACTTTGATGGTATATTAGGTAATAATTGTTAAGATATTAATTTATTCTTCCGATTAACAGCTCGTGTGTGCTTATCAGCTTTCAGGTATTGTGTAACAATAAAGCGCTTTGCACTGTTGACTTTAATCTCATATAATTGATAAGAAGAATTCCTCCGTCTGATGTAAAAATATTTTCTCCAAATTCCGCAACATATTTACAAACGTCAGTTGTAGTTACTTTTGACATTTTATTAAGAAACAAAAACACAAACTATCTCAAAAAATGAACAAGACACAACTAAAATATGGTTCACGAAATCTTATTCAAGAAACAAATTTGTAACATCTAGTCCCGACTGAATTATCTTTATCTGGAAGCGATTAAATAATATAAAAAATAAATTACTTGCGAACCATAGGTAAAACCAATGAACAATAGTAAACCAAATAGGTATGAAACACTTAGTTATTTGACTATAATGCAATTAAAATCATAAAATATAGAAATAGAAATACAGAACACGTAAAAAAATGACGAAATGTGCAATGATGTGCAAAATAAAACTTTATGTTTCGGATCTATTGATTAGGGCGAGTCCGTTTTCGATCAAAACCGTACCCTTTCCTTTTCAGCCGAATCACTTTTCGACCAAATTTAAAATAGGCCGATTCCCCTTTCGACCAAATCAACAATTTATATAATGAATTAAAAATAATAAAATAATGATACAAAATGTTTGATTATGATGGAAACGGATTCACGACAATTGAGCGCAGACAATTAAGCGCACGACAATTGGGTGAAGACTATTGAGCGCACGAAACTTGAGCGCTGCGAAAATTAAGCGCTAAGACAATTGAGCGCGATATTAACCTAAAAAATTTAGTTAATAATTAAAAATACATCATTTTTAATCAAACCATAACAGTTCCATAATTTTATCGAAAACTTTGGGGATCTTCGTTGCTTGTTACGACTAATATGACCTATCCATGTGTCTTCAAAATAGTCTAAGAGAGGTGTCAATATTGTTTCATGTTCTTCATAAAAATCAGTTTGTAATAGGTCTTCGAATGCAGTAATAACAGACTCTGGTGGAACATATGCTAATGCATTTAACATTTTAATATTTAATGCAAACTCGGAATTTTTATCGTATTTTACGGCAAGTCCTGTGTTTTGAATATATTTCCATATAGATTGACAAAAGTGGAAAAAACATCCATTTATTTCCATTTGAGGAAATACTGCATTTATTATAGCTTGTTCGTAATCTAGCATTATAGAAATTGGATTTAATTCTGGTCTTAACTCTAGGAATTTTTCAAATAAACGTAAGTATATTTCTTCAGTTTTATTTGGAAGGAGTGCAAGAACGGATGGCAAAACATTACTATATTGTACAACGTGAATTATATATAGCTGGTAGAAAATGGTAGGTGACGATGAAAAAGTACCATCAATATACAAATGTTCACAATCAACCATCATATCAAGATTTTCCGTAGTTGAAAAAATTAATATGCGTGGAATTTCTTGATTTTGTGAGTAACTATCATATAATAAAAATGGTTTACTATCTAATGTTGCTGTAAACTCGGGTGGAATGATTAACTCCTTCAATGAAGCTGGAATTTCTGGTGCCATTAATTCTTTTTGGCGAATTCGTTGAACCGTTTTTTTCATTGAATCCACTGCTGGTAATTGACCAGCAACCGCTTCAGTAACCTAAAATAATTGAAAATATATATATATATACATATATATATATATGTAGGTACGTATTAACTATAAATTAACACGTATATTATACCTTGATATTAAATTTATATTATATTTACCTGTAAAGATACTGCACCTAAAACTGCTTGAGTACTAAGTTCAGTATGTTTTGCCGTTGTTTTTAAAAACTGCATTGCTTTTCTTTCGCTTCAATTTTTGAAATATCTGGTGTATGGTTGTGCTCTTTCTCACATTCTTTAATAATTTGACCATTCATCAAATTAATACGACTACGACAATTTTTCGAATTGCATTCGATACATTGCCAACTATTGTTTTTGTCAAATCTGTTTAAATATCCATTATAGCACAGAAGGTCGAGACCTTTTTGACTTTTAATAATTTCCATTTTATTATCAAAATTATAATGTTTTATAGAATAAAATGAATAGTTTTCAGTATGCACGTGTGAAAATATGACATCAACTACCTTGTGAAGTTATCCAGTGATAAGAGCCTACATTTACTGCTGCGTTACCGTCGTCGGAATTTTATTCTTTTAATAACACCGTATCGATAACATTATCTGATTATTATCAAACATAAAGATTTATCTGACGGGTTATATAGGTATTCACAGACACTGCGAACAAATTCATTTCTAATTCCGTAATTTAGTGTACAGCAGTTCTGCACTAAACTTTTACTCAGTATAATATAATATTATATTAAAGCGCTCAATTGTCTCAGCGCTTAATTGTCGCAGCGCCCAATTTTCGCCGCGCTCAATTGTCGAAATACCGATGGAAACTACTATAATATATTAATGATGATTCAGGGTTTTACTCGCGTAGCGAGATTTTAGGTTCACATACAGCATAATCCCATTTGCAATAGTATTAAGGTTTATATAAAAACTAGTTTAGACTTATACTAAAATTTTCATTGGGGCAAAGCCCCATCCCCCGAAAAGTGACACGCAGTAGCACTCGAGCTTATGAGTGGAGCCGGAAAAAAAAATGCGAAAAATTTTCATTACGATAAGAAATCTAAACTAGATACAAAATATCGTTCTCCTTTATATTAATAATTTAATAATTATTGACAAAAATTGTACGTTATTATTTTATTATTTTAAATTTATTATATAAAATTTTGTTTTGGTCGAAAAGAGAATCGGCCTATTTTAAATTTGGTCGAAAAGTGAATCGGCCGAAAAGGGAAGAGAAGGGTACGTTTTTGATCGTTAACGGCCAAGTCCATTGATTATAATTCAAACTTGTAACTTATTTACCTACTTTTTGGACTGTTGACAAAAAAACGCAAATGCATATAAATCCAGGGCTGGAACCCGATTGAGCACGAATGATCTTTTTTGTAACTCGATTGAGCACGGTTACAATCAAACAATAGGATCCAAAAAAAAACCCAAAAATCACACGATTGAACACAAAAATGAGTGCGACGTTGCCGCTTTGTACCGTAGAATATTTCAATAATTCATTATTTTTTCTAATCCCAATAAACCTATACTTGAAAGCTCCGACATTAGCTAATTCTGTGCTTCTCTCGGATAAAATAATTTTTATTTCATTATTTTCCATTTCAATTTTCAAAATACACGTTATTTAGGAATACATCACGAGCACACGAGACAACAGAACAGACTGGCTATTACTTACAGCGTAGGTATATACAATAACAGTGCAATCGTTGTAGATAAAATTCTGGTTTCCTATCTATCAAAGTTATTTTAAACTTCCGTGGTACCCATCAATCGATAGCGAAATTTTTTTGACTAATATTTAGTTAAATTCCTATTAGCATTGATTATAAATACTAGTATTTATAATCAATGCTATTAGTAATCTACAATACAGACTAGTAAAAATCTGATAACGTTATACACAATATTTTTTTTTCCGTGTCAATCAGGTCGTCAAAAAGGTCAGCCGATCACGACCTTGTTCAATCGGATATCACGGAAATCCGGGCCCTAATTAATTATCAATATTAAATTATGTGTAACTTCTGTATTTACTAATACAAACATACATTTTAAATACCTCCATCATATATTATATATTATAATAAAATATTTATGCATTTTTGTACACACTTACGAAATGTAAATTTGAATTAATTATTAAGTACATTATTGACATTCCCATACGTTGAGAATAAAAATGCATATTCCAGGTTTGAAGTATTGAATGTACAAAATTGCTTCAATATACTTAAATTGTACACAATATAAAAAAATATATTATACTGTATCCAATATGAGAGTACAATCAAGCAATTAAAATTATAAAATATAAAACTAGTGGCTCACTTAGAAACATTAGAAACACGAAGGCAAAAGTTGAAGAGAATATTATTTTAAATATTTGTAGCGATTCTCAAAAAACCTGCATGTATAGTTCTAGCAGCAAAACAAGAATAAATTAGTGTTGTTTTATCGTCTAGACCTATTGTAACATTATTACGAATATTTATAAAATATAAAAAAATATACTGATAATTTCTGTCAGATAAGGCCAACCGCGATTGTAAGGATGTATATATGCGTGCAATATGTGCTATTATGGTTCATTTTAGTTTAAATATTTATTTTTCTAATAAATTATTATATTTTAAAATGGAAAGCATTATAATAATATTGGTTAATCGTTTTATATATTTAATTTTTTTGAGTAGCCAACACTGTTATAGTGTTATATATAGTATGTAAATAATAAAATAAAAATATCTGCAGAGAGGAAGATCTATCGGGATTTGTCCGGTATCTTGATGAGCCTATCTGCTCTAGGACCTATGAAAGATTAAGATCCATAAAATAAAATTATATTAATATATTATACAATTATTATTTTATAAGAATATTATTGTTTTAGATATTATTAGAAATAACATAGTGATGTGTTTTTTTTTTATGAAAACGGTTAAAATAAAAATGTATTAATTTCCAATCAATTTTATTTACAGAGCTTATTCATTCTATTGTATCCAGCAGTCCCACGCAAATTTACTAGTACTTTACATTTTATCTTAATTTTTATTTTTAAATATTAGCTTGCCTAAATTCATTGTAATTTTCTATGGTTGTTTATAAATCATCTAACAATAAATTTAATTTTTATTAAATGTGTCAACTGGTAATACATTGTTGAAAAATTATTAAAAATGTTATTAATTGTATGGATACATTAAATGACCTTGATTGGTTTAAGTTGAAAAAACTATACTTACCAACATTTTGTAAACTTGGGTGCATTTTTTATCATATTTGTATATTATTGTGATGATTGAAGGGCCCCCGAATTAATTTGCCTTAGACATTAAAAATCCTTAGGACGTCTCTGTCTATATATATTGTATTGAACATCCAATTATTTGCTCATAGGGTATTGATCTTAGAAATATCATACACTTGGTTTATATTATATGTATTGGTAAAATACACCAATATTTCATAAAACGCAATCGTGTTACACCCAATGAAAATCAAATCAATTTAGTGAATATAGATAATATAATAATAGATATAATATATTCAATATTATATAATAATAAGTTCTAGTGACGAATACTGATAAAATAATAAACAATTTTTTTTTAAAATCGATTGTGCAAAAAAGATACTACTAGTACAAGATACGCCACAATCGAACCACATACCTGTAAACACAAAAACAATAATTTAAATAGTAAAAACACAAACTTTGCTTATGAATCAAAATGTATGTATTATATTAAGTGATAACAAGTATTTAAATATATACATAGGCGTGCGCAGACTTCAACTTCCGGTCGATGCTAAATACAATTAGTGCCCCAATACTTAAACAGTACTCCTAATTTTTTTCTAACACTTCAACATAGTAGATTCTATTGTAAATTAAAAGTAATGTAGTATTTATATCTATACATAGAATCAAGTATTATATTGCTAATTTTTAGACATATATTTTTGAAGTTAAAAGTAAAACTTTAAATCCTTTAAAACCAAATGATATAAATACAATTAATTGATTTCCACGAAAATATTAAAAAATATATAGACATTTTACTATGGTTAGTTTAAATTTTACTGTGCCCCCAAAAAAATTTCGATCAAGCCGGGGCTCGCCCCGTGCGCACGCCTATGAATATATATATAGGTACTCGTTCATACATTATAGTGAATAATATAATTGAAATATTTTTAATGATATTCGTTATAGAATAATCATTATAACTTACGGAGTATAAAAACTTCTTATCCACATTATAACAATGATTCGCTGTTATAGTTATTTCAGTAGCATTCAGTTCGTTTAAAAATAAATAAAGCTGAAATACAGTCATTATTAATTTAATTTTCAAGGTTTGTAATTACCAAATCTCGAAATATATACAATTAACTTATGGAACGTGTTTCATTTATTTTTTTTTTTAATTATAATAAAAAGTAAGATTGTTGCATATTATTCAAAACGTCGCAAGACGTCACCTGTTCGGCTTATGACTGAACATATACCACGAATATTAATTGTGTTAAATATTTAAATGCAAAATAATATGTATGTATATAATTTGTAATCATTAATTTATGGTAAACGGATTAAACGTTTACTTGACTCAGAGAAAATTATAATCAAATAATTACATTTAAAAAATTACCTGTTCTTTTGTTTGAAGTTTTAAGAAATTCATTCTATTTCGTAAAATGTAATAAAATGTAAAAACGCTCTAAAAAAATAAATGAAAAAAATAAGACAATATTTATTCAGCTATCAGAATAAACAACTTAAGAAAATGCATACCTTATTGTGCAAGTAAGAACTTGACTCGATAAGATAAACAAAAACTAAAAATAACCTTGTCATACGTATGATTCGAACAATAATTTTTAAGTCCAATAAACTGTGAAAAAAACTAAAAAATAACTCTTATTTAAAATAAATATTAAGCTATTAACTATACTTCATAATTAAGTTATAAGTAATACGCTCTGTATACAGTGTAAACATTATTAAGAAAAATACAGTATACTAAATACCGAAGTATACATTATAATTGTTATAATAATAAATAATAGAAAAGCAAGTTCTGTATAATTTTTAGGGACTCATCATTTTTTTATGAATCCTTAAAAACTAATTTTTCAAATCAATACTGTGTGTAGATATTTACACTAATATTTAAATTACATTACTTACTCGTCGCTTTCCATACTCGACAACAAATTTCTCACAAATTTAAACAACACCAACAACACGTACAACTGATAGCACGACAAATGGATGATTAAATCTATATTGTAGTGCGAGTTAAATTTTTTGCAAAACACGTACAACGCGAGATTTCGTTGTCGAGCTTGATGGATTCGTTCCAAATCGTCGATCAGACCAGACTTAACGTAGGCATTCAAATCACTGTACAACTGACCGATAATATGGAACGTATGTATCAATTGCAATTCGAATCCAACGAATGCATAGATCGAAAGGAGATCCAAGTTCATTTCCTTGTTTGTCATCCATCTGAATTTAAATGACATTTTGTTAGCAGTTTATTGACAAATTGCAAATCCGATTTAAACACGATCAAGTAACAAAAAAAAGAAATTTGAAGATTAGCGATTTTTTTATAACCACTAACCTTTAAAACTTTTTTCGCGTGTTTAGTATGTAACTGAACTAAGTCTAAAAACTTGAAGGAAAATATTTCCAAAAACATGATCAACATTTTGGTTTAATATTATGTTACAATTTACATATTATGATATCATTTATAATTTTAAACGGAGCATAGCAAAAATTTGTTTAAAACTTGGTTTTAGTTAACCATCTATAAAAACTAAATATTATGATTATAACTAAAGTAGGTAATTACTTAAATCATCATGTAAAATCGTGTTTCTGTAATGATCCATATATACACTAAACTAAGTTATTATAGTATTTAGTTACGAAGGTAGGCGTTCATTGAGGGAAGTCAAGAAGACTCTTTTTGGAAATTAAAATAAACTTAATATTTAATAAATATCATTATTAATGTTTATATGAACTAAGTATAAAAATACACTATTTTTTTTATTTTTTTTTTTTTTGTTTATTCGGCTCCATAACTTGACATATACATTTTTCTCTTTAATATAAACAAAATAACGAGTACCTAAATCGAAATTTTTTTAAATTAAAAAATAAGGACCATCCTTACATAGTATTTACATAAACGACCATGGTTACGGACATTACTGTATATGGTTCCATAAAAATTGAGGGATTGAAAGCAAAACTAATATAATTTTAAGGCACTTATTATTTCCCTTAAGACCGCTTTTAAATATTCACATAAAAGGCTGTGTGCACTAAAAATAAAATTAAATAATCACACTACAGAGCTCCGCAAAATATATTCCCGACACCTGTCTCCCCAATCAAGAAACCCTAGCGCTATTAATACGTGTATGCATCAAAGTACACGTATAAATAATAAATATAAAATAATATAAAAGTAAATGTAACATACTATAAATATCTATTATTATTATAGTTAAATACTTTCAAATTTGTAGCATTTTAATGATGTGTTCAAGTATTACAGTGGCCGTCAGTATTTTTCAATGTAGTGTAACGATCTTCTGTCTACACATATTTTATATATTATATAACTGCAGAAACGTCAAACAAAATCAAATTATTTGTAGCAACTAGGAAGTATAATTGACATACACAACTATTGACAGAAACATTAAATTTTATTTTAACTACTTGGGCCACAATAAAAACGTGTTTTTCGTGGAGTAGCTTGGGAAACATTCAAAAGGGCAAGTACCTTTTCCGCCAAAAATCCGGTTCCATGATTTACGCACAGCCCTATATCACCAGAAACGAAAAAGGTATGATTCCCGTTTCCGCCAAAATTTATTTTTGTGATAAGACGTTTGGGAACCATGTACAATTGTTACATATTCTTTCATTATAAATTTTAATACAAGTAGACAATAATAATATATTAGTCGAATATAGGTACAATTATATTAGAGTTTTTAAAGTATTACATAATTTCATATTATAATATGTCCATTATATTTAACTACAGTAGAACCCGCTTAAGACGCTCTCCAAAGGACCAGTTAAAAATAGTGTCTTAAGTGGGAAATCGTATTATGCAGAAACAAAATAATGATGTTGTCAAAATCAAGGGAGTCGTGAAAATGAGCGTATTAGCCGAGAAATCGTCCTAAACGAGAGCGTCTTAAACGGGTTCTACTGTATTTATAAATTAAAAAACAAGGATAGGCCAAACATTACCTCGATAGAGTTTTGAAAAAACACATATCTTCATAAATAAATATATTTATTTTATTTCTAAATAAAAAACGTATCTTTCGTTGCAAGTACATTTTCTTTTTCAAAAATATTGGCCCGACAATTTTTCATAAAACATCTCCACCGAGTTACATTTATTTGTGACGTATAACCAAAAACATATTTAAACCCATCACAACTCTACATTGTTTTACCTCTTTTACTTACAACAAATTCCATTTTAAAAACGGTAAGTAAGTAAGAACGTTTAAGTGTTCTGGTGACAAGAAGAACAGATATTGAATGGAAATATAATAATTTAACATTTATCAGATAATTATTGTCTGCGAATTATAAATAAACTATGATGCAGTATATCGAACAATGTACCATTATTATCGACAATTATCAGTGTATATATTACAAACGTCTTTTACACTACAATAACATATATTCAATATTGCTTAAAAATTAAAACCAATGGCTTCCAAACTTTTTTGGTGGGAATAGCTTTTGGCGGAAACGGGAATCGTACCTTTTTCGTTTTTAACGGAAAAGAACTACGGCGGAAACGGGAAAATCCCATTCAAAACAACTAAGGCCGGTGACACACATGAGAAATTTGTTTCATAAGATTTGTTTCGTGAAACAAGAAATTTATTTCGTTACTTGAAAACGCGTGTATTTAAATGGAGCAACACACACTGTTGTTTCCGAAACGTTATCGCAAAAATATTTTGTAAACAAGTTTCATGAAACCAAACGTGTTTGGTTTCATGTATAATTGTTTCGTCGTTTCACTATCAACTCCCGCGCAGTTAACGACGTAAATAGGTATGTACAAATATGATAATTTATAATTATTTATATTGTTTATGTTTATTTATATTGTTTATATTGATTATGATTATGTGATAGTATTAACTACCTTTTTAAACTATCTTCTATATTATATAGGATCAGAAAAAGTACAAATATCAATAGGTAATAATACAAATTTAAAAAAAAAATAATGCAAAAGTTTAATACCTATTGGTTTTGGTCAAATATTCATAGCTCAAAAATTAAATAATTTAGGATTTAAATTTCGATATAATCATTATTATATTATTATAATACTAAAAAAAAACCTTGTCAAATAGTTATTTAATATTCAATACTGCGAAATGGTAATGGTTCAGAGCTTGACATCGTGGGGTAACTGATAATATTATATTGTCTTTATCGTGTGTTTTAAATTTTTTTTTAATCATCTTCTTCTCTCGATTTAACCACCATTGCAGAACAATAATGTCATCATCGGACGACATCTTTAGACCAACTAAAATGAACTGAGTGAACTAAATGGTGGGTAGGTAAAATAAATATTTATGAAACAAATTTGTTCTGTGTGTATTGACCATGAAATATGTTTCGTGTGATTCATTGTAAGAAACAAATCTTATGAAACAAATTTCTCATGTGTGTCACCGGCCTAAACTTTTGATTGAAGGGAGCAAAAGTATTGGCCGACCTATAAAACTAGAAAATAAAAAGGACTAGCTTCCCTCGCACGTTCAGGGACGGAGTGGTCCATCTGGAAATCTGGAATTTTCCAGATGGGCTGGTACTGACAGGGAATTTTGTGGGCCGGTTAGCGACAACAATTAAAAATTAAAAAAACATTTTTAAATAACAATATAAGTATAATTGGCAATCAATTGTTCAACATTTCAAACAATATTTAATATAATAAAATATAATATATAATAATAATAATATAATAAATAAAAATAAATAAATAAGTAAGTAATTGTTATACATTGTAATAAGTAAATTATTATTTATTATTTAAAATAATTAATAAAAATTAAAAATTATCCAGTACTCATTGCAATTTTGTTTTATTTAAAATAGATCAAGCTGCAGGCAATAATAATACAATAGAATCAAATCAAGAAGCTCCTGATGATATTATTTTGAATGTTGAAAAAAGTTTACCGTTGATGTATATAACAAAATATTCTGTTATACAATTATAATAAGTATGGAAAACGGATTTACAAATAATAAAGAAATACTTGTTGATTTAACATTATTATCACCTATTAATTTTGATTCATATTTACAAATGGATAACCCAAAAATGCTTTCACTAAATTAGCTACAAAATTAAAACCATTATTAATACAAAAGGTATTAATTTCGGTAGCAGCCGAAAGAAGTTTTTCAACGATGAGGAGAATCAAGACATATTCAAGGACATCTATAACAAATACGCGTCTTCGTAATTTGGCATTGTTATTAATTTAATGGGAATTCAGTCGGGAGTTATTGCGAATCCTACAAAGATTATTGACAAGTTTGCCAAACTGAAAAACAGGAGAATTCAATTTACTAAATAATTATTATAAAAAGTTATTTTAAAAGTATATATTATACATATGACTGCAAAATAGTAAGTACGATTTAAAAATAAATTAAAGTTTCTCTTAAAAAAAAATCATGTATCAAATTATTCTTATAACCGAGCCCATCCTGAATTTTTACCCAAGACACGCCCCTGCCTACCTAAACTACTTAAATAAATTTACTACATAAATATGTAGTGAAGTATAATATACAACAGTTGTAGGTGTTTAATTTTTTATATATACATATATCATACACTAACTGATGTGAAACGTGTTTTAAAACCTAAAAAATTTGATACTTATAAATAAGACGTGCAACAAAAATAAATCCTAGGAAGGGACCCAATATAATTACCGCGCACGGGCCTCCTATTTTGTAGTTTCGGCACTGTCACCTCGTATGCCCTCCTCTCTAACGACCTCCCTCCCCACTATCTTGAGCCCTACGAACGCTATCAAATCCAGAGATCGCCGTGGTCAAATTGTTTGTTCCGAACGTACGTATACCTTTCCACGTTGTCGCCGACGAACTCAAGGAACACCGCCCCGGTGCTGGCGTAGACGACCACGGCATAAGACGTCCGTACCGAGACGTCGATCGGCCATTCGGACAAGCTGTTGTAGCACTGGGCCGTGTCGCTGGCCAATGCGATTCGCCTCACCAGCACGACCAGTTGTCCGAACCCGTTCATGCTCAGCACGATGGCTGAGACTGCCGACGTTTTCTTGATGACGCCGAAAAACAGCATAACCAGGTACCTGTGAACATGGAACCCCACGAGCGCGACGTGCACGAAGGCGATCGACAGGCCGAGTCTGGACGTCACGAACGTTCCTCTCTTCGGGTCGTACGCGACGGGAAACGCGCCCATCCAGTTGAACAGCCAAAACGGAGTCCTGAGGCAAGCGCAGAGCACTGATTAACGACCAGCAGAGTACAACACCGGCCACGACGCGCCCGAGACGTGGATCGGTTGATCATTTCTATTAACCACCCCCCTCCCCCAAATAGGTTCCGATCGCTCTAATTGTTCTACGATTACATGTAGCCGCATAACGAAATCAGTTACCCGTCAAAAAGTGAATGATCGCGGGCCACGCCAAATTACGATTTTAAATTTTAAAACAACCTTTAAAAATCATATTCGACGATACAAGTGCAATAAAAATGAGCAATTAATGAAAAAACTTAACTGTAATTTCATAACGGTAGGGAGAGAAAAAAGGCAAACACTGTAATGTAAGGGCACGGTTTATTTCAATATTTCAAAAACATTAGTATTGTAGTGTTGAAATTAAACAACAAAATAACATGGGTAAGGAAACGTTTTTTTTTAACACAAACAGGTACATTAACACATTGTAAATAATTTAACAGTTAAAAAATAATCATTGGGTGGTAACTATTGTCTATTGAACAATTACATTTTTGACAATTATTTCGACTATTGTACCTATTACCTATACATATAAAAAACTATAAAAGCTAACATATTAAGAATGGAGGGTACAATAAATAATTTGGGCTGAATGTTGTTATGGTTAGGTTCTAATGCTAAGTAAATTATGACTAATTGTAAATAATCAATTACTGTTTTCAATGACACAGTTATATAATGATAGTTTTTAACAAAGCAACAAAAAAGTTTTAAATGGCAACTTAATAAAAAATATAACCACACCTCGATACCATAAGAAATAATTATACATTTATATTGAACAGTCTTTTAATTTTAATCCTTAACTTAGTTACAAATCCCACACAATAATCAAAATAATACACAGAATGTGTTACTAATTACAAGGATATAATGAATAGTATTTCAACTTTACATAGACAGTAAAAAAAGTTTAAAAAAGTCAGTTAATTCAGAACTGCATTCCTATTTTTATTTCCCTGTTTTAACACATTTGACACAATCAAAAATAAGTTAAAAACAAATAAATTAATCATTGCCATCATGAATTTTACAATACACTGTACAATACACTTTTTAATAATTGTGTTGTAATAGACTAGAAAAATCCCAAGTATCTCTGATGTAATATACAATGGTACAATACATAAGCATAAAAAATAAATAATACTCAACAAATACAAAAATTGTAATACAATTTTCTAAAACATATCCTGACCAATCAGAAATAACACACAGACAAGTTTAAATGAAACATTAACATATTATATAAATAACAAACGTTTACCTAAGGAAAGCATAACACAACTCATTAAAAAATTATAATTATAATAAAATAAATAATTGATCTTACTTTTTAAAAGTAAAAAAATTGTCAACCAATGTTAATTGTAAGAATGAATAAAAGTACATTATCATTGATGTTTTTTATAAACAAACCTATAATACAATATCAATAAGCTATAGTAAATGCTTAAATTTTTTTTAAAAATATATGATCTAGATTTGTTCCAAGTCGTAAAATAAATTAATTAAATAACATAAACATAATAAAATTATTTTAATTCTAAACCATATTTTATGATATAATTAATCAGATACTAGCGACATATTTTAATATTAATTTTTTCAAACAATTTCAATGTAAGATTTGACAATAATTATTTATTCTTTTAATTATAAATTATCTATACTCTGTTCCAAAAAAGAAGACACGGTTTCTGCACATTTTTCCCCTTCCATCAAGTTTTGTTTCACACAGTTAACTTTAAAAAGTTTATTTCCAATCATTGCCAATGATGTATACACCATAATTAAAATGCAACATGCAATATTTGTAAGTGGAAGATTCACGCCGCCGAACAAAAACTGGTCATTGCTTCATGTCTTCTCTTTTGGAATAGGCTATATATACTTAGGCTAAATTTTTAATAACGTATAGCAGATTTCTGACTCACAATATTACTTAATAAATAAAAATAAATTAAACAATCTGACTAGGCAATTCACAGTATAATAAAAATTCATAAAAATCCAATACTTACCGTTTAACACATAAATTAATACATTCAACAGATAGGTTGATTTATAAAATTACATACCTCATAAAACTGATTAAATTCAATTATTAAAATTAATTTTAGAACAATGAAAAATATTTACAAATGAAAAACAATACCTATTTCTACTTCAAATTTATCAATTGTAAGTAGTTGGCAGAGGCAGATTGAAATATAAATTGAATGAGATCTTCTTTGTATAGGCCACTTCATTGATATTATTAACTTTTATTTTGTGTAAAATTGCAATTTTTTATTAAACAAGGTAATGAAAAATATCATCAATCCACCCCTGGTAATTGGAATAGATTTTTTCACAGTATTGTTTAAACAAATTAATATTGTTTTAAACATATGGGATTGAATAAAAATGTAGTTTAATAATTGTGGTTTTAGCAAAAATGCCATAAGAAATTGACCACCATTTGAGTAAACTTAAATTCAAAAATTAAATTAAAAAACAATAAAATTAATTATAAATAACAGGATAAATTTTAAACCTAAACTGTATAGATATTTAATTTTTTTTTTCATCCATTTTAAAAAAAGAATGTTTTAACGCAACATCTGCAGTTATTCGAGTTACTGGATTCAAACACAACAGTTTTTTCAAGAGATCATATGCAGGATAAGGAAAATCATCAATAGCATTTAAATAACAACTACAACTTTCTGAAAATACTTCACACCCAGATAATTGAATTGGTTTCATACAAGTATGACAAATTTCCAAACCATTACTTGAAGAAACAGCAGTTGGATTTGAAGCTTTTACACTTGATCGATGGCATAAAAGTCGACAAATTGCACGAAGGTCTTGAGGGGGTTTTTGAACTTCACAAATGACATTACGACCTATTATGAAAATAACAAATAATAATATAATAAAATAACAACTAACAATCAAATATATAAACAGTTGAAATATAAAAATAAATGAATAATTTTAAGTAAAATTATACATAAATAAAACACTTACCTAACATTTTAGCTACATTTTTAATAGCCCTATCTCCAAAAACAGTTATCATTTCAGCTAAACAAGTAGAATCATTTTCTGCACTGAAAAATGGATAACAACGAGACATGGCTTCCAACATAATGACTCCAACAGACCAAATATCAAGTGCTGAAAAAATTGAAAAAAAAATATTAAATTTTAAATAGATAAATATTCTACAATGTATAAAATTCATCCCAAAAATGGGACTAAAATAATTTTCTATCTTTTACCTATTTTATAGTTATAAAAACTTAAAAAGCTTAGAAACTTAAAAACATTTAAACATTTTTATTTATTCTAAAGGAATAATTTTTTCCCTTTCTATTGCATATGTCATTACCTGTATTTTGATATTTGTATTTTAAGAGCACTTCAGGAGCCCGAAATCCTGGCGTTCCTGCACGAGGAGCTTTCATTTCAGGTCTTTTTATACAAATATTACAAACTTTCAATTTCCCTACACAATCACATGTTAAACGTGGCACTTTAGGAACAGCAAAACTATTTTTGTCCTGTTTATCATAATAAAATAAATTACAACTATAAAAAATATAAAAATGTGTTTCAGTAAATTAAATCAATAAAAACTTACATTTAATAAATTATTCATGGCACTTGAATTACAAGAACTATTATTCTTAGGAACTTCAATTTGTTTTTTTATGGGTGAATTCTCTTTTGATAATGGCACTTTAGGCATCATTAATTTAGTTCTTTTTCTCAAATTACATCCTTTAGACGCAGAATTTGTGCCATCAGCTATGTTTTGTAGAATACGCTTTTGACCTGAATTCAAACATATAGTTCCTACTGAACTTGATCGTTTATAATTAACCTAAAACAGTTTTAAAAAATGAATTTTAAAATTCCATGATGGATAAAAAGTCAACAAGTATCTTACATTAAGATCACAACTAGTACTTTTTTGTTTACAAGATGTGTCAGACTTGTTTGGCAGAACATTAATTTGCTTATGTCTAGTTGGATTTATACTAGGATGAGCAAGTCCAAAATCAGTGAGCATAAACCTGAAAAATTAAATTAAGTAAAACTTGTTTGTCAAATTATAAAATAGATTTAATTATTTACGTTGAGCTTAAACGATTGTACAAAAAATTGCTAGGTTTGACATCTCTATGGACTATATCAAACGAATGTATCCTTTTTAATGCTATTAGTAAATTTTTTATGTACAAACGTAACTCATTAACATCCATTGAACAAAGATAGGTCTGAAAAATCCCAAATTATTAATTTAACATAAAACAAGTATGGTTTAGTTTCATGTGCAATTACTTAGATCAGTAACACATCCAAGTGTAAAATTAATTTAGAAAACAATAATTACCAATGGGTGATCATGTTTGATATAAGGCATAATGAGGCAAACAGAACTTCCAATTCGGAATGATGTTACTAATCCCATAACATTATCTTGTCCACTGAAAATAAAAAACATAGTACGAATTTATAAAATTAGGCCATCAATCGTATCTAATAAAAAAATAGGAAAAGTATTCACTACTGGTCAAACAATAATTTGACTACCAAGCAAGTCCATATTTAAAACAGTACCGACAATGTGGAAATATTTAATTCTACACATGTATTCCGCTAGTCAGTCATGTTAGGTGGAATGTAGGATATATTCCCAAGGTTGAAGGTGGACAACAGTATCAGAAGTAGAAAAGACTACCATTATCTGCTTGATTTACTCACCCAATCTTCAGTAAACAAAATATTTCATAGCGTAACTTCTCAGGATGCGTTGTCTGCTTAATGTGCTTGACGGCATATTGTTTTTTCTTGACATCACCTCTAGCATAGGCCAGATACACCTTGCTGAACGTGCCAGCACCGATTTTGCCTTGAATAACAAATGTCTCGCGCAACTTTCTGAATGACTCGTCCTTCAATGGGGTCTCTGTAAATATGCAAACTACTACTGTAAACGGGTAAACGAAACGTAGGGAAATTAATTACACCATTACGTACTTGGTTTGGACGATGTCTGGAGAGTCGGACTGGTGTTAATATTACTGCTGGATACCACTTGCATCTCGGGAATCGCTGCCATTTCTTAGGTAATCTGTTGTTGTTGTTGTTGTTCGAATGTGTATGAGCGCGTGATATAGGGCTCGCGATTAATATCAATCGATAACGCAATACGTTGCCGGGAACGACAGGCCCGTAAAATTCACCGAACGGTTTGTTTACAGTACCAAAAAAAATACGTGCTCGCGAATAACTGATAAAACTGAGTTTTGGCTCCGAAAAAAATTTCGACGAAAAGGCGGCCAGCTAAATGTATGGTTAACTCGTTGTGTTGTTGTTTACGCCGGGAAACAGTGCGGCCATGAGTACACGACCAAACGTACCGAGCACGGCCGCTAGGGGGCGTCCCGTCCCAAATTCGTTTGCCGTCCAATAAAATAGGTATATTATGTACAACAAAATGGCTTCTCCGCCGTACTATGCGGTCAATGGTTACTCATCTAAGTACATTTTAGTGTATTCACAACTGGTAATTTCGTTTTTTCACACATTCCTGCGTAACACTCTGAAATAACGTTTTTCAGTGAATCAGTGACGTCCAACTATTTGGTGATGCAAACACAAATTTTAACCATTAACTCACCCACCCCTACCTAGACTCCCTCAAAAATATTTCCATTTAGGTCCAAGGAAAAAAATATTAATGCTATTTGTTTCTACAAGTTCTAGACCATCAATTATACAAGTATAATCATGTTAATATTCAGTAGATACCTACTAGCGAATACATAGGTACCTACTGGCTACTAAATATCCGTTTCTCAAAATTATATACCTGGACTGAAATATTTGCACCACTTTAAGTACGTATTCGATGTCATTACGTTTAATATATGGCTGGCGAAGTGGTACAAAAAGGACCAGAAGTTCTGGCATTATGCAAATATGTAATAATAATAGAACATGACTAATTAATTTTACATGGGCATGAATGTTACTATATTTCTCGTATTATATCATTTTATCTTCAGTTATTGAAATTATTTAATCAAACCAAGTACTTTTTATTTTTTATTCACGTATTATTATTCTAAAATATTACAGTATGTAGTATGTATATTTTGATAAAATTCATATAAGTAAAAAGAGTCCTGAATGTATCAATTCCGAGGCTCACAAAACCTCTCAGCTGCCCTAGATAAATACCATCTTAATTTGAACACATGTGTCTAAGATGCCCTACAATTTAAAATTTTGATTCCAATAATTTGTTGAAGTTCTTGATTTTTCTTCACATTGTTAACTTATCACTTGTTTTTATTGCCGTCCATTTAATCTTATTATATGCATTATGACACAACACCAATTACCTAAAGTCCCTAGTATTCTACACCCTTCAGTTTCTATTCTAAATTTTACTGTCGAAAAAAGCAACACTTTACACAATAAATACTTTCAAGCACTTTTTCTTTAAATAAAAAAAGTCACATCAATAGTCAATAGTTAGATGAATCATTATAATAAGCCATTCCAAAATGTGTACACATATATAAGAACTGTTTCTCTTCAGTTTTTATATTGTTCTATCAGCTTCTCATCCTAGATATTATATAAACTAATGTATAAAACTTAAAAGATATTATTTTATTCAACATTATAGAAATTGATAATAATTGTATATATTGATTATTATACAACAGTGTTATATTTTCTCATTCTAAGATTGTATTTAAATGCATTGTTTCCTGCATTAGCATCATAATTAATTTTCCTATTTTCTCTGTAGTCTTGAAGTAAAACTATTAAAAGGTTTTAAAATAAAAGGAAGCAACAAAAATTGTTATATACCTACCTTTTTTGTTTTTATATACATCTCCAAAATAAATGCCAAATCCAATCCCATATCGGTCAATAATTTAATAACACCATTAATATAAATATAAACTATCTCCTATTTAAAAATCTTCATCAAATGAGAAGGCTAATATAATAACATATAACATTATCATTAATGTAGAGTCTTACAGTTTCAAAAAAATATTTGAATTTCAATACCTGGGTACAATGATCACTCAATTAAATAATATGGATAATAAGAAACTTAAAAGGATTCAAATGAGCAACAAATGTTATTATGCATTGGGCATCTTACTTAAGACAAGAACACTCTCAAAGAAAAGTCCAGCTATACATTACGCTAATAAGATCTATAGTACTATATGGAGCGCAATGTTATACTGTAAAGAAAAGTGATGAGTCAAAACTAAGAGTTTTTGAAAGAAAAATATTAAGAAGGATGTATGGACCCTGTCTTGACCAGCAAACAGGAATTGCATAAAACACATAATGAGGAGTTATGCAACATGTTAAACACATTGAATATGGAAAAGGGATAAAAAGAAAAAGATTAGAATGGACAGGTCACATGTGGAGGAATCCTGATAATGCATGCCTGCAGGAGGGGCAAAGGGGCCATTGCCCCTACAAAGAATTTTTGTTTCATAACTATTGTTAATTTAATACTACACATATTAATTATAACATAATATTATAGAAATCCATTTATGAAGTTTAGTAAAATTTATTATATTTTTAGATAATCTTGAATGTGTTTATAAGTTTACAATGTTTACACATGACTGCATATCGCTTATAACTATAAATTCTCCCGAGTACCGATTTCTATGGTATTAGATTTTATTCTCATATATTTTTAGGTACACATTGTTTTGGCCTTTAGAATTTTAATCTTGTCCTTGGTTGGATTTTATCCTGCAAGTGCACTTGAACCTAATGCAATGATAAAGACGACAGTTTTACAAGAGAATCCAAGGAAGAAAAGACCCTGAATCCGATGGGAGGATTGTGTCAAAAAGTACTTCTACCCATATGAAAATTGGCATATGTTGGCCAAAATCGCGAAGGATGGAGGCATAGGCTCAACTAGAGGGTGCTAGAGCACCCTTAGGCTCTAATTTAGCACCCCCCAGTTAGAAATTTGATAATTGAAAAAATATATAAAAATAGTGTTTTTCTTATTTTAAGTAGTTATTTTTATTTGATGCTTTTATCAAAAAGATTAATTGTTTATGACTATTAGTTAATTACATCATCAGAAATACTTAAAAAATATTCCACTAGTCATCGCAAGATAATACTAGTGTGAATATTATATCTTATATATTGTATAATATTATTTTTCATTTGTGTATTTTTAGTACTGTATGACCTAAATAAAATAATATAGGTTAGGCTTGTTAATATTTATTAATTAAAATATTAGTGTATGTATGTTGTTGTGGTACATATAGTGATTAAATTGATAAATGGTACTTGGGGGGTGTGTGTGAGAATTAGTGTAAGCTACGCAATTTCAGCACCCCCAATATTTGGACTTTAGTTGCGCCTATGGATGATAGCAGTTATGTTTGGATGTGTGGTCTAAAAGGCCATAAAAAAAAAGAAAAAGACATTATCATCAATATAACATCATAAATATGTACTTTAACACATATTAATAATCTACTAAATGTATACTGAATTTGTTTTAAATATATTATAGGGCAATTTGTCTTTGACCACATAGTTATTATAATTTGGATTTGTATTTATTGAGTAGATGATTTATATATTATAAAATAAACAAAAACAAATAATAATATTAATGATATAACTTTTTTTTTTTTTTTTGGTTAAAAGAATAGCCATCATTAAAATTATAAAATGCAATTATTTAAATTAGGTATAGATCTTTATTATTATAATATTTAATAAAACTTTGTTTATTAATATATATAGTAAAAATATTAATAAAATTAAATTTCAAGAATCACTCATTTCTACCACGATCTAACCAATTTATTTATTATTTATCTGGCATATGAAATATAATACCTAGGTTTAATATTTTCTAAAATAAACAAATATTGTTTTAAGTTGTTTAAAAGAAGGTAACATTGTTTAAATAGTAAATACAGAATGGAATGCAGTTTAATCAATGGTCATTGATAAAATACACAATGGGGATTTAAAGACAATGAGTTCAACCAGAGTTGATAATAATAACTTAATAATATATTTTTTTTTAATTGGACCCTTTAAGAAGCAATAAAGTATCGGTAAACGAAGATGGCGAACACTCCCAGCGTCAAAGGCAGCAACCACGATTTCCAAATGCTAAAAAAAAATAATAAACTTATAAAAAATATGTTATTTCACACAATAATGTACTTATTATTTGTGTTATATAATAAACAGTACATTAAAAATAAGATTCAAGTAAAAATAATTTTATTAATTAAATAATATAACTTTTGTTTCACTAATAAATTATTAAATACAATTACGTTTTTTAATTAATATTTTTAAAAAGTATTATCTTATAATTAATAAAAAAAAGCCATGAATTATATAAATATATTATCTTCTTTAAATGCTTTAAATGCTTAAAATATTAAAATAATATTTAATTATGTAATATACATATATATAAATCTGTGTATGTCTATTTACATTATATTAAATCTCAGAATGATTTAAATACAAATTTTTGATTTGAAGCATAAAAAAAGAATATATTGATTTAAAAATTAATATCATATTAAATCAATAATTAGACATGGTAAATATTAAAAATTAGATTTTCTTAAGTTTCAAACTTTCTTGAAAATTATAATTTTACATAAGCTATTAGATAAGAAGTTTCAAGGATAACAATACTGAATTGTCATAATACAATTAAATTTGTACTTGAATTATGACAAAAAATTTTTATTTTATAAAATATTAATAATGAAATTATATTATGAATTAATCTATATACTAAATTATAATTTAATAATTGTAAATGTCATGTTTTATATCTATTCAAGCAATCAATATATTTTAATTATTATGTATTTTAACTTTACATATTGTAGAATTTATTATTTTAACAAAACAAAATATAATTATACATAAAAAAAATTAGATCTATACAAGGTTTTTAATATATTTCATATCCTATATGTTCTCTGCTTACATATTGTTTGAAAAAAAAAACAGTAATAAAGGACAAGTAATTGATCTCAATAAATTAATTATTAAAACATAAATAATTATGAATTAATAAATATTAAGTAATAATAACTAAGCTGGTGGTTACAACAATATCACAGGAAATGTCTTTATTAACACTTATGTTAGAAGTGTAATATATTCTACCTCTTAATTAATGTTTAATATTGAACAAGACTGATATAATGTTTAAATTTAATTCATAACTGTATAATTTTATTAGCATACACTTCATAAAACTAATTAGTCACTTTTAGTATAAAGATTAGATACAAATATAAAACGCAGTTTGAAGATTTATAACAAAAATGCTTAATAGGAATAAGTGCAAATGTGTAATTAAATAAGTAATAAATCAAAATTAGTAATTAAAAAAACTATTTATTTGTTTAATAAGTAGTAAATTATATGAAAATTCAAATAATTATTTAAAAATGATTAAACTAAACATTCCTTGCTTTATTTAAAATCTAAAATAATACTGAATTGTAATACTGATATTACTTTAAAATATTTTTGTATAAAAATATCAAATATGTCATTTGTATTTAAAAATATAAAATGATATACTAATAAAAATAAAAAAAATAATGCCTATACTTAACTTTGATTTGATTACATATTTTACTAACCTAAAATCATCTCCAGATTCACTTGAAGAAGCAGGTTTTGGTTTGTTCACTGGTTTTTTATTTCTTTTTTTGTCTTCCTGTAATTGAATACAAAGTTTGAAATAAATAAAAATTATTATAATTTAAGCTTTATAAGATAGATGGCAACAGAAATTTTATTTATTTATTTTATATAAATAACTATCTATTACATCAATTTAATTAAATATAAATCAACTTTAAAAAAATTTAATATTTAAAAATTATTAAGATAAAGGTAAACATATGTAATTTTTTTAATTTGTAATAAAAGTAAAAATATTTATAGTCTAATACAATAATATTTTGGTACCTTCTTTGTATATTTAATCATATAACAATAAGAGAAATATAAACAATATTTAAATTAAAAACAGCCAAATTATTATTGGTTGAAACCATTGCACAACTTTATATTACATCATCCTATTGATAAGTATAATAAATAATTTCTGAAGTAGTAATATTCAGATAAATTAAAGAAATCGATAGGCAAGTCACATAACCTAAAATTTCAATAGAAATATTACAAATACTACTTTAATAGATAAGAAAATAAATGTATTTATTCCATATTAATATAAATCTAAACAATAGATGAATATCTGTAAAGTAGCATTAATAAATTATAGAAATCTTAATAATAAAGTAATCCAAAGATCAAAATAACATTAACTTAAAATCATATTTGACTACTAATTACATTGTAAATAAATCATGCCGTGTATCAGATAGAAAAACAGCATAAGAATATCATTAAATGTATAGTTATCCTTGAAAGTTATTACGTGGAAAATATGAAAAATGAATATAATATACTGTATTTGATGTATTTAATGAGACATCATTATTTATTTCAATATTTCTTTAAAGTCCAGACTTACTTCCACGAGTTCTCCAATTTTGTATTTCTGCATGAGTTCACGCGCATCGCTCGAGTGTCCTACATCCTCAAATTCTTCAGTCGCATCTTTTCCAGCTTGTTCCAACAGAACTTCTTCGCCGCCAGGATGCTAAAAACACGGGGGGAAAAAAACGAAACCGTTAAATCATCAGCCCACATGAGATCACGCCCGGAGTGGACGGCGTTCGGTTTACGACGGACATACATCGTTAAGAAATTCTTTAACGTCGTAAATGCTGTCGTTGATCACCATCCATGGATTTTTCGCGTCAGCCTGTTCCCGGACCTCGGCCATCGAGTATTTTTTCACTTCTTTTTCGCTCATCGTGAACAAATATATTTATTACACGACCGGACAAAATATTCACAGTAACGGTACAAGAAAAAAAACCGATAACAACTGATATTATTACCGCAACGTAGTTAGATTTCAGATGAACGTTCAATGACGAGTAGACCGTGAGACACACGCGTACGGCCGACTATCAATAGCCGTGATATTGCAATACGAAAAATTTATGAACTCGCACAATCAACAGAAATAGACACGACGACCAACCAGTGTGTTAGGTATAGTAACCGACACACCAGGAAAGGGTGGGAGTGAGAAACCGCTAGCAATTACGGTCGAAGAGTAGTCGTCAGTACGCGGTGCACGGCTGAGGTTTCGGCTGGTTGTCTGTCCGGAATGACTGTTAGCGAATCGGCGAATGCTTACGCGATAATGATTTTATCATGGAAATTGATAAAAGAAAAAAAAAGTAGACGTGGAAAAAATAATTTTTGATATCATTGTCGAATATCATGTTTGAAAAAATAACAAATAAAAAATGTTGGGGTAGAGATTCATCGCCATCAAAAATAGCAAACCTATTGCTTGTCGGTGTACGAAATTGTATCGCAGTAAATGAGTACCTGTTTTCTTAGGGTTGCCAGATTTTAAAATCCATAAACCGGGACATCGTATTGAAAATTCTTCTTTTTTTTATATATTGCTCATTTAGAAACAAAAAGAAGCGTCTTTTTTCATGTATCTCGATATTGTTCTATTTTATTATTAAATAATACGATGTTAATAATTATCTCCACTCAGCTTATATTAACCGGGACAAACTGAATGACCGGCCGGGACACCGGAACATGCCGTAAAATCGGAAATGTCCCTGTCAAGTTAAGACTTATAGCAAGCCTAATTATACATATGTATTTATTATTTATTAATTACAGTGGTGTTCGTTAACGAATACGATAGCGGCTATCAGTTAAAAAACATTTGTATTTTAGTAGCCACGTATGAGAGTATTGCTTAAAATTATGGATTATTTTCTTCAAGGTTCATAAATTAATATACGATTACAAGTGGTATATTGTGTAGGTTCACGTAAACACACTTGTGTAGTCATGCACAATATCATGGATTGAATTTGTATTTTATAGATTATTTTTTAGTTCAACCAACGAGACGAATAATAATAATGTATAATATTTATAATAATATTAGGTAATTATATTACGATGTAGTACTTAAAAAGTTGTTTTGTACCATCACAAATGGAAAACACCGTGTACAACTTCAGGTACATCAAAAATATAGATACCGTACAATAATTACTATTTTTTTTTTTTTTTTTGTACCATTAATGCATTGACCATCCTATGACTGTCCATGCAAGGCAAGTAACGATCACTCGTTGTCCTTGACTTTCATAGTTTTCCGCATTTTTCATCGTGTTTACTACGTTGTCATAATGATAATTATTTGTTACTAGCACTACCTACCAGAAGTCCAGAACAATGCTGTCATGCAACGGCCGTTTTTATAAAATGGGGAGGGGTATATTAGTGAATAAAATTATTTTACTCTAGTATATAGTGAAAACCAAAAATTACCTATTATTTTAATGATTTTAATGGTAAAAAATGACTATATCTTAGAACATTGGGAGTCATAACAGTTATACATTAAATTAAGAGGACCACATTGTATAAAAGTCTGAGAACCACTGGTCTAGAAGATTAATTAATTACTAAAACGTCGGTACCAGCAGTGCTGTAAAGAATACTTTTAAAAAGTATTTGAGTATTTACTCAAATATATTTTTTTTCAAATTTTTTAGATACTACTCAAATAATTTAAAAAAGTATTTTGAATATCTTTTTAAAATTTTTTGTTTTTTTAAGTAGGTTCTAATTAATGTAATATAAACACATAGTAGGTTTATAATAATTTTTATTTTATTTATTTATTAAATAAATGTCTATTACATTTTAAAAACATAATGTTTTCAACATTTTCATCAATCATAGAGCTTCTTTATTTGATCATGGTTGCTTCACCCATACTAAATACGGCTAACACAGAAATACAGAATATTCAATAAAAGTTTTATTCAATTATTATATTGTAGTTGACAATAATATTTTTTCAACCAAATATTTTGAATAAAAAATAAAATATCCCAAGAAAAAAAACAAAGTATTCAATACAAATAAGTATTTAATAGAAAAAAAAGTATTTAAAAAATTATTCAATAATTAAAAAAGCATTTGAATACTTTTACTTAAATACTTTGCAGCACTGGGTAATAGTCAACAGTATAGAAATCTGTGATGACATTATATTGATGATGACCAGGGCTCGGAACTTATAGCACTTAAAATCATTAAAATAAGTGCTTAAAAACATCATTATAAGCACTAAAATAAGTATTTAAAAAATTTAAAATTAAGCAAAAATATTTATTCCAAAAAAAAAAAATAAATATATATATAAAATTTTAACTAAAAAATCAAACAAAATAAAAATAAATCTTCACTTCAAGACTTTAAGGATTTTATGGATTTTCTAAGGAATTTTTCTGAAAAATAAAATGTAAACTGTTGTCTCTGTTTTTGATCGGTATGACGTTAGACACTCAGTTCTATTTTCAGCATTGGAACATATTGGTTGCGACTAACTACGTGACGACGTAGATAAGATAAGAATTATTTTTAATTGTAATTCTATCAAAAACGACTTTGCAGAAAAAAACTTTGAAAACGTACAATAACTGGTCAAATAAGCAAAAATAATCAGAAAAACTGGAAATAAGCATTTTTTTTTAATTTGCTAAAAAAAGCAAAAAAAGGCACTTTCAAATTTTATAATTGTACGTGTTATAAATTGACATACACTTTTATTGCACTCTGCTACATTTTAATTCAATCCATAAATATAAGCAAATGCTTTAAGTCCCGAGCCTGTAATGACGTTATAACCTAACCTAAGCAGTTACTGATAATCAATTTCTGTTTTACGCTTATTATGAGATTGTTTTTGACATTTTACTCATAGGTAATTATTTTGTATTAAACGCCAAGACGCATTGTGTAACAACATTTAATAGTTTTTTCTTATCAAACTGTTTTTTATAGTAACATTCTGCGGTTATTAATAAATTATTAATAATAAGTATACATTAGTATACTTATTAATAACTTATTAATAATAAGTATACATTAGTATACTATAATATATAATAAGATTAATATCAATGACGCTTTATATAACCAAGTACAATGAAGGCGATAGTTTTCGAAATTGACGGGAATTAATTATTATTGAATCGTATTTATAACAGAGTCGAAGTAAATACAAATTAGGTACTTACTGCTCACATTCCATAGCAACCAATTTAAATTGCATCTACAAGGACGATACAGCAACATTCAGGTATATAATCGATATTTTTGTACATACATTTGTCGTAAGAATCTATTGGTAAGGAGACTGTTTCCCCTTACCTCCCCTCCATAAACCCAGAATGTCAGCAATCAACATTAGATTTGATTAGTATGCAATCAATACCAATATATTAAAATAATACTTCAATTATTTTATATAGATACCTTCCGACCCGTCACAGCTTCGCCCGTGATTGGTTGTTTATTTTGCCTTCGGACCATGATATGTAGAATTTTATAATCAAATATTATTGTTTAATGTGATCGGCAAGTAAATATAAAAAAACGGTTAATGAAAACGGATTGAAATTTTTCTAGCGTTATAAATGATAAAAATAAATACAGATAAAAAAGAAATAATTTATGGTTGATAAAGAATTTGATTGAAGTTGATGAAGAAAAAAAAAGAATTAAAATAAGAATTTTATAAGACTTCTGAGTATATGATGTTTTTTGTTGTATTTCCTGTTGAAATTAAAATCATAAGATGATTCGGGTCCCCAGTTCCAGAAAATGCCACGTATAATGGCCCATGTGAAAAGCATTCTGTACGAAGATCTACGCCAACGTACTTGAATGTTTGACCTTGCGCTTTGTTTATGGTAATGGCAAAAGAAACTTTAACCGGGAATTGAAGCCGTTTGAAAGAAAACGGCAAGTCAGAGGGAATCATGGGAATTCTTGGAATAAATGTAATTTCTCCTTTCGATGGCCCTGTAAGAATTACGACTTCTATAATATTATTTCGCAACGATTTTATTTGTAACCTTGTACCGTTACATAAGTTCGGTGGTTAAATATTACGTAATAATGTAATTGGAGCACCAATTTTTAATTTTAGCTTATAAGGAGGAAATCCCGAAGGAGAAAGAGAATTGAGAAATTCTTGTGGATAATGAATAGCATCATCTGTTGATGTAACTGTATCAATAGATAGATATTTACGTGAGTGTCCATTGAATTTTAGAAGGATGATATCATTAATTTCTCCTGCTGTTACATTTCTCGGAGAGATAATAGCTCTTTCACATAACCACTGATAAGATTTATTGGATAGATTAAAAATGTCAGGATAAACTGTAGAAATTAACTCTTCCACGTTATTGACCACCCGTCCAATCGTGTGATTGACAGAAATGTTACAACTTTCATTTTCTAAAGTTCCATTTCCAATTTTCAACAACTGTGCTGGAAAAATATCGTTCCCTCCGCATAAATAAACTCTCATGTTTGTTCGCAAATAAAGTTTTTCAACATAGTTCCATATATGGGAAGATTTTAAGCAAGCATTAACGACATCAGCTCGAGTACCTTTAGGGATTACTGGTAAGGTTTGACGGAAATCACCAGAGAAAACAAATGTTATGCCACCCATAAACTTATTATTACACCTTTCAGAAATCATTTTTGCCATCATATCTACGGCGAATTGGTTGAATAATATTTTGTAATAATATAGATGATTTAGACTTGTTTCTCTAACCATAAACCTATAAGAATAAAATTGCATACAGAAGACAGTTTTTGTTCGATTTTGGTTATTTTTCTGTAATATATTAATGTGATAACCGTCTTCGCCTCTAGTATACATCAATGAATATTACAGTGCATCATAAGATCTATTCATTTCGGAAACTCGACTCAAGTGTCCACTCCGACCGTGCAGAACTATATCTCTGGGACCTTTATCTTCATTAACTAATAATACAGCTACTTCATCGATGGTAGGTGCATTATATTGACCTCTGTGTTCATCTTGAGGAACTCTGTCAGCATGAATAATTAACTTAAAGTTTTGCAACTCATCAAAAGACCTCGACTCCAGATTAGATCTGAAGCTCTGTATGAAGTGATTATTTTCACGCAAAACTGTTTGCAATGATTCAATGAGACCTCTTTTTAAATTTGGAATCATATTTGTTCGAATAGATATTTGATCCCACTCTGACATAAAATATATTTGTAAAAATTTAGCATTAT